ATTTTTATCAGCATTATTATGCATATAACCGGGACTTCAATTAAACAAAGCCTTTAGATAACTGATCTGATAGATCTAGGTTATGTATTTATTTTATACTATTCTATTTAAATATAATACTACGTTTTGATTTTTGGTGCGATAAATGAGGACAATTTCTTGAACTCTATAGTTATTAGCCGTGATTTTTTATCCTCTTATTTGAAAACTATATTATTCCATTGTTTCTTATATAATTTCATCGACATTAATGTTTCAGAAGAAGCATTGAAACAGAGGATGCTGTCTTTGAAAAAGTAGAAAGGAGGAATGAGGAAGCAGAAGAGAGACAGACAAAGAGCGCAGAAGTAAGAATATCTCTCTTCCCCCCCCCCTCTCTCTCTCTCTCTCTCTCTCTCTGTTTCTCTGCCTCTTTCCCTCTTTGTGCGTCACTATGTGTCTTTCTATCCCTCTCTGTCTCTCTGTGTGTGTGGTACCTCTGTCTCTCTTTTCTCTCTCTCTCCCCTGTCTCGCTCTACCCCTCTCTCTTTGTGTCCTTTCCCTTCTCTCTCCCTCTCTTTTTCTCTCTTTTACTGCCTCTCACCATCTTTCTCTCTGGTTATTTTATCTTTTATTTAAATTGAAATTGTGCATTTTGTTTTTTTTTTCAGAAATCTGAATATTATAAAATATTAAGAGGCATTGAAGGCCAAAAAGCATCTAAGAGAAGTGCTGGATATTTGACTACTGATATCGAAAACTAAAGTAAGTATCATATCTTACATGTAATTTTATCTTTTGAGTAATGCTTATTGGTAAAAGTTTTGCGGTTTTAATTTATTCTTTTTTCAGTTATCAGAACTTTTTATATTTTTTTTAGTCATAGGATACATGTACAATCAAGGAGACACGAAGGAATCATTCTATCATTTCTGTTGAAATTGAAATAAAAATATCTGCATTTAAATTGTAGTTTTTTTTCAATCTTTTCTGATTGACAATATGTATATGGTTTAGAGACCAGCCCCCCCCCCCCCCCCCCCCCCCTGGATCATGAAACATCATAAGCTTAAGTCAAAATTTTTATTTTGTAATAAAATACTGTAAAGGTCCGGAAGACTAAAATCAAAAAAATATTCAATATTGCTTCTCAAAGGTGTTGTTAAATGAAAAATTCTAAATAAATTCCTCAATTTAAGACTATTTTAACTATTTAAACTTTCTGTTTATCCCGCAAACTCCTTTACTCTTTAGGGCATGCGGGTTTGGACGCTGTCTTGAAGAAATTCAATGTAGTGGATTCCTGATTCTGGGTCCTTCCTCTAATAAACCTTTTGATTTTTTGGCCAAAAAAGTGCTTTCTAGACTCCTCCAGAAATTAAACTGTCTGTTGTAAACGATTTTGAACGACATTACCACTAATGTTAAAGAAAATTACATATAAATCTGTCTTTGTGCTCTTGCATACTTGTGTACTTTTCAAACATTCGCCGTTTTTATCAAGTACATCTTATGGTAAATTTTGTTTTTATGGTTTTAAGCAATAGATTCATGTTATAATATCTGTTTGAAAATAAAACAAACATGGATAACTACAATTACCGATATTTTAAAATAATTGTTAAGAATTTCGTACACGCTGTCATTTTCACTCATTGTTCAAAATATAGGATGACCTTTGAGTATCAAGCTTTTTTTTACCGTCAAACGTTTCTTAAATACAGTGTAAACTACCCCCGATGTAATGTCTATCACATTTGCTATGTGTCTTAAAGTCAATCATACATCATCAAATATTATTTGTTGAAATTTATCGAACAGTACATAAGTTGTTATAATTTTTGTTGGCAAGGAGGGTACCCATCTTTGATTCCCATTATATAATTTTTAATCATTGGAATCCACCTGCTCTTTTGTCTATAAAACAGACATTGGTTGCTCTAAATGTCGAATATTTCAGTTAATTTCTTTGGAATTTTTAATAAGTTTTACGGCAGCTTTAATGAAGCTTTTATTTTCACTCTTGTTTACTGATTCTTTACCATTCATTTATAATGCAGTGTCTCGAAAAGCCCTTGTTTCCCAGCTTCTCATGATGAAACTATGAGATGAAAAGTGGTCACATAAACTGTTATGAATTCACGAAAGATTCAATTATCAGAGAAAGTCAAGTTTGATGTCATACGATATCTGTAATGTTTGTCATATAGTTCAGGACATTATTTATTGAACAGCCCTCGTAATTAAGATGGAAATATAATTAATATTGTAAAATGAAAAAAAAAGTTAGAATCCGGTTGATTTAATTTCAAGTATTACCAAATTGATATGCTTTTATACATGGCAACATATTGGTAAGGTCCTGTTTTAACGCCTTCATACTACATTCAAAACGGGCGGGTTGACACGTGAATAAAGGATATACTGCAATGTCATTTTATTATTTTTAAAATCATTTCCTTTTCTCTTGAAGAGATTGTACTTAACTGTTTCCATTAAGAAAGAGGATTTTCTATTCGTGTCCTCTTTTTTGAATTCAAAATGAAAAATGAAGACAATGCAATTTCAGCAATCAACATTTTTTTTAATTCATTGCCATGATTGAATACATTGAGAATTGGTGAGAACACCAATTTTCATGTTAAAACAGATTAATTATTAATCGGTTTTCTATATCAAGAGTCAAAAGTTGATGAATGCACCAATTTGAATTATCAATATCTTCAAATAGATATTGATCTTGGTGGTTACACCACGAAAACAAGAGTGAATTTACAATACTTAATTATCTAGTTAATTCTACGAATTAGTGAACTAACCATACAACAACTTGGTGGGTCCACCAAAAATACGAAGACGAATGCCTAAGATTACATAAAATAGATATAGCAAGTGTATTATATGAGTTGTGGGGATTTTGGTGGTTCCACCAAAAAAATTGAATGTGGTGAAATTCCCGATAACATTTTAAAAATGACGTTGGTGAATCCACCAGTTTTAAAATACTGAAACAACCCATTGAGAGAAACTGAGTTGTAGAACCACATAAAAAAACGTCCTTTATACAGAGTCGGTGCACTCACCAAAATGCAAAAATTCAACTAACAACATATTCATCAAAATTTCTCACAAATACTTGGTGGATCCACCAAAAATACAAATTGAAATTCACAAGAATGATTAAATGATACACTGTCAAGATTACTTTGTATTCACTAACAGTGGGCAGTTTGGTGGATCCACCAAAGATATTAACGAGGCTGGAGTGTGGCAGCCATTTTTAGACTATTTTTATCTCCTTTAAAAGGAGAGCTCCATATGAAGATATAGAAAATGATCAAATTTTAAAACTAAAATATATGAATTTTTTCTTTGTGAAATGATAGAAGACAGTTTAAGTTACCGTATCTAAAAAAATAAGTTAAATCTGGTGGTTAATTTGTGATTAATTTGTTGACCCCCAGCCTCCTTAAAATCAAATTTAAAGGCAATCATAATTTTCTTGTATAATAACTAAGCGACACTTTCTTAATACATTCAAAAACAAAAACCTGGTGGGTCCACCAGAAAATTAGAAAATCTTCATGTACTCAAAGATAACAAATTTGTCTCTAAATATAGAAAGTCGTTTGGTGGACTCACCAACCTGTAGAAAAACAAATTCCTAGGCTTTCTTAATTTCACTAACAAACACTTGGTGGACCCACCAAAAACAAACCGAATACTTGAATGATATATTATCAGCATTACCTAATTTGTTTTAAAATGGGGAATTTGTTGGGTCCACCAAAACATTAATCAAAGAAACATTTGTAGATTTCCAATTACAATGACTAATTTCCTTTCTATATATATGAACAAAAAGTTGGTGGATTCACCAGAAAACGTCGAAAATTTACATCTTACCCTCTCATTACTTTTTGTTGATACATTTGCAATTCAATAATAGGTGGAACTGTGAACATGTGATTAACATAATTATAAAATACAATTTCAAAGATGTGTATACATTTTCAAAACAAATGTGAATCCTCTAGTTAAGGCAAAATGTTAAATAAACATTATATAAAATAACCTGCTATCTACTGCTTTATTTGCACGTTAATAAAGAGAATAAAAAACAAATCTTTCCCTAATTTTTTTAAACAGAAATATACTTAGTTTGTTTCTTTAACTCCCCTGTGATTTTGGCGATTTTCCGTGTCTGCACTACTGTATTACACCTTCTGCAATGTGATGCGAACCCATGCATGACACTCTAGCAAACTACTAACATTGAAGTCCAAAATATATTATTGGGCTAAATATTTCAATTCATTTACTCTCTCTATGAATTTGTTTTTACTGAAGCAATAAAAAACATTAACTTTAGTACTCTCAAATACACATTTAGAAGCATAAGAAATGAATGCTGCACAAGTAAAAGTGGCAACCATGAGGATCAACACCAATAAAAATATTAAACACAGCACAACCTTTAAAAATAGTTAATAAATTCGTCATCAATAGACTATGTAGTCATTCCAAATAGAATTTAAAATTATACATCCAAGTCCAACACAATCACAATCGCAATAATACATTTTTATCCCTCACATTGATGTCCCTTTTTCACCTCTATGGCGGCATGGTTTGCAAGAGCTAAGGTCCGAATTACATGTACACTGTACTGACTTTTTGCAAATTCTGTTTGGAAGGTGGGTTTCCATTTTCAGTTGGTTGGTAGCATTGTAATTAAGTTCTAGTGGTTGGGGCTTGATCTGTACCATTTTTCTTCTGATATGAATTTTCTTTGACACGTTTTAGCCATCCTTTCATAATTAAACTATTGAGTACGTAATTCCCCTTAATTTTTCTTGAGTAAAAGAACAACTTGTGCTTTAAAATGTGAAAACTATCATCACAATATAACACCAGTGATATCTTGTTTAACACTGTTTTCTGGTCTCTTTACAATTGTATTTTTAGACATCTCTGTGTTTTCTGTTTCTAATCCTGAGACAGCTTGGTACGTAGTTGCAGTAATGTTGGACTTATCACCATCATCTTATGCCCTATGATAAAAGTACATGAACAAAGTCTGTGTATGGTGCACAAAATTTTAATGTTTCATATTTTCGTGTTTTTTTTTCGTATATTTTATAGAATTTCATATTTTAAACAATTAATTGAATTCATTTCAAATAAACAGAATTTGAGGAAGAGGCCCAAAGGCCACATTGCTAATATTAGATTAAAGAATTAAATCAGAAAGCTTTCCTGGCATTTAATTTCAATTGCATTGCCCTCGCCCTAGGCAGATGCTTTGAACATATTTGTATCTACATGTCTTGAGGATACTTTTCAATATTTCTTTTTTTTTCGGCTTTTCTAGTCTAAGATTTAAAAAAAATCCTGATATTTCTTCCTTGCATATCTTTGATGTACTGTTAAAACCGCACACTACCGGCAGGGGTTATAATTTGAAGAAACTTGAGATAAACTTATATTCTATTTTCGTAAGCCTTATCATAATATCAAAGTAATTTACAAAAGATTTTAAGTGAAGATGACGGAAGATTTTGTAACCATATAATGTACGTGTACAAATATTAACGCATTCAGTTTGTACTAACAAAGTGCTTGTTCGGAAGGGGAGGGGGGGCTACAAAATTAACTTGACAGAGGGAGGACACAGCAAAAACAGGAAACCACATTGTACTGATCTTCATAAAATTATAAACCCATTTTGTACTTGTTCCTTTTATTTATCTTGATACTTTAAAACATGATCTTCACTGCATCAACAAACTATCCATCAAGACAGAAACATAATTATTCTTCATACATGTGTATTACCTATCTCACTTTCAAAATAAATGCGACTTACCATTGTAAAGCCAACATATTCTTTTTGAGTTCTTCCAAATGTCTTCTTTTTAAATCGAGAAATAAGTCCTTTTCCTCTGCAAGCATTATGGTCAAATG